TTTCCTTCATCATTCGTTTCCTCCCTTCCTTCTGTCTTCCCTTCCCTTGTTTTCCTCCCTTCAGATAATGGGCCAAAATTCAGATACGTGGGCTAAAATATGCGACGAAAAAAATATCTCTGGAACCTCGCAGCAGGAACCACCCTGTTGATGGAAGCCCTGTAATCATGGACGCTACCTAAAGCACCACTCGTACCTGCCTTGCGTAAAATTAAGTTGGACATAATTGCACCGAGACTATTGCACCGAGATCCGTGTCTAAATAGGATCCGAGATGCTACATAAGGTATAGACTGGTATCTTTTCCATTTCTATTCCTTCTTCTTCCTTTGCTTTAATTAGTCCGTCTGCGTTCCTGGTGTCAAGCTAATGGTAATTTGTAAGGCAGTATAACAACAATATAAAAGGTACCTTTTGGCCGCTGATGGACCAACTTTTTCGGTTTCATATAGAACTTTTCCTGGCTCAGTATGGCGAATATTTTGCGACTTTTCTCACCACGCTCCTGGCTCAGTATGGCGAATGTTTTGCGACTTTTCTCACCACGCATAAACATCCAGTAACGCATGCCTTTTGTGCTTGCAATCTTTTCATATTTTCAGTTTGCTTTTTACCCGCTGTCTTCCCAACAGCGATCCAAAAGTCGGTCGCTGAACCAAGCTCAAGATTTCTCCAACTTATCCTCGTCTTCGTTTGCGAATTGACGGTGCGTTACCAAGTCCAACTGATCGTGGTGACGTCGTTAGACTGAGGTATGTATTTGGTTACCAAATTGCTTCAGTGGTCCAGGTGTTTGAATTTTGAGCTATACTTGAATATCTTTTCCGAGCATTTTCCAAACATGGAAAATCTGGTATTGGGCGGTTGGCCTTTTTATGTTGAAAATCGGTTTGCTTGACCAGTTTTGCTGTAAATGGATGTTAACCAAAAAATTTGGACAACAATCAAACAAAGCATTGCAAAAATTAAGTTAGGAAGTGTAGAGGTCAGATTGTACTCTTGCCCACATTCGAAGTCATTTTCATGTAATGTCATCGGTTTTCAGTACGCGTTCCGAGTTTCGTGAGGCAGTGCGTAGGAGCTTGTGTGAGGGTATGAGTTTACCACGATTACCTATAATCGCTGGTCAAGTGGCCATCGCTCCGTCACCTGCTCCACCTCCTGCAAGTGTTCCCGCTCCATCTGCCATTCGCGTTTCATCGCTTCGATGTAAGGCTTTCTTTCACTTTATGTCTTCACGATTTTTGTGTTTTCAGCTCTATTTTCGAAAGTCTTCATTTTTTTCAGCCGATGACGCCACCGCATCTCAAGCCGAAGAAGTTGGAAGTGGTTTCCAAACAAGCAACAAAGGTCACCGCGTTATCAACTAAGCTCGAGTGGAAGATCGATCAGGTTATCATTTTTTTCTGAGCTGTCGCATAGTTCGGGTATGAGTTTGAAAATGAGTACAGTAAACCTCGTTCTCTGCATCCTACTCTCTGCGGGAGATGAGGGGCAATGTAATCGGTGAATCGACGTTTTGGAAGAATGTAAGTCCGCCCAAACTTCAGGGGTCTCTAGCGATAGCGACCGGCGCCAATTGTTGCCTATCCACTCCTCTGCTGAGCATTCTCTTGGAACATCGACTTGCCAGTTCCAGTACATTAACGTCGCCCAGTTCGCACGTTCAGTCGAAGATGAACACCGTGCCCTTCCATTGTCAACGCTATTTGCTGGATCCCTTGCTCGACCCCATTCCAGACTCAGATTGCGTTCTACGTTCTTCGACGCAGATATTCACAAATATTAAAGACATTGATTCTGTGCATGTTTCACCTGCGTGCGCTGGAGCAGCTGCTAATGCGAATTATGGGCGGCCACAAAAACGAGTTGCAGACCTTATTAGGCAGGGATTCTAGAATTATGTATGGCTTAGACTGCTTGATATATTCACGGTACAGGATACTAGTGGGGAATGAGTAATCACCTGGTTGTTGGAGTAATGTTAAAGACAGCCCCCGCGATCAAAGTGGCTCGTGGTCGCCTTTGCTGTGCAAGTAGTCTAGCCTCCAAGCTAGAAGACTGTTCACCTTTCGCGACTCTATTGTGAGCGTGGAGGCTGCTATAGCCGCTCAAAGTGCTAGTTCTAACTCCTCCTCAGTCGGACCGCCTTTACTTGCTAGATGTCCTCCGACGGAGGCCACTCACTTGTTCTTAGTTGGGGCGGCGGGCATTGCTAATGCCCCTGGATAATTCTGCTCTCCTTCATTACAGTTTACTCATTGGAGGTATATACATTCAATTCAACCCATTTCGCGAGGTGAAACGCGTAAAAAACACGAGTGACGCAATTTTCGTGATGCAAAACCACGACGCACAAAAGGTGCGCTACCGTAATCACAAATTCAGACACCGTGTTGATAAAATTCCTTTTTCCTTCCCAGAGTTTTTCCTCTGCGTTTTTGTTGTTTTCTTTTTGTATTCTTTCTTTTGCACTGGATGATATCAACTACTGCGAGATGTGATAGAGAGATTTGTGAGCTAGGGGCTGCACAGAGACCGCAGGGAGGTGTAACTGTGAGGGAGCGATTTTGTTTATGTTGTTCTGGAGAACGCTTCTTGCCTGTTTTCTTCTTTGGGAGATTACTTATCAGCTTCATAATTGGAAAGCAGCTATCCATGAGACTTTTATCGCGGGAGCTGTCTTTAATAATATGCCCTTTCAGTTCGAGAAGCTGATGAAACTGTTCAAAAATGGCCAAAATCTGATTAGTAGGCAGTTTGGTGTGCCTCAAGCTCCAACGGTATGCTGGGAACTCCATGTGTATCCTAACGGAAAACGAGAAGAGGATATGAATAATGTATCATTCTTTCTGCGCCAAGTGGGATTGCAGGTGACAACTTTCATTAATTACCTCTTCTGTGCACAGACACGCTTGTAGTTCATTCATTACTACTTCCACTGTAATGAGTCTTCGTAATTTAGCGTGGTGAGGAGCCAATAATGACAGAATTTCAAATCTATGCTCTAGACGTGAGCTCTCAGCGAGTTAGCGTGTGTCGAGACACGAAGGATTTCACAAATCAGCAGGGCAGAGGGAAATTCCAGGCTGGTTTATTTTCAGGTTTTAAGATTTTAAAGGATGATGGGTTGTGGTATTATCCATATATGGAGTCAGTATAGTCAGGATTAACTGCCCTTACCTGTTCATCAGGCACCTCTTTCGACAAATCCCTCTCTTCTCCTCTCTTCTCTTATAGGCTGACTTAACCATCCTTACAGTTAATACATTGTCTTCCACATAAGCGAATGTTAATTGCATCGGAGCTTTGTGTGCAGTCCTTACTTTTCACTAAAAAAAGTGCTTTTGTGTAAGCGAAAGATGCTAATAAAGTGTTCCTTAAGCACGCCACATGGCAATAACTCCTTGCAGACTCTGGATCTTTTCCTTATGTCGAAGATGGTGTTTTAAGTAATACTGCAGTTTTCTTCAGGTATCGCGGGATAAAATGGCAGGTGCACTAAGAGCTGATGGCTCACTGCTGTTGATATGCGAGGTATGTTTATTAGTAGGTAGCGAACAGTTCAGTAATAAAGTTATCTAGCATAGCTTTTACTGCTTCCGCTTTTCGCCTTGAAACTCAGCTGTTGTGGTCACTCTAGGGTGAAGATAGAGAGTTGCTCGTTCCCTGCGGAGCTCTTAAGTATAACGACCTGCTCGCAGTCAGAAAGACAATTGTTGACTTATGCTGCCTTGAGCGCAAAATGCAAGAACTGCTGGGAAAGGTGACTTTTCGGAACAGGGAAGAGGGCAAACATTTCCTTGTGTAGCTGTAACAGGGAATGAAAGCAAAGCCAATCCAGCCGAATTCTAACATCTACCATCCATGCTACAAAACTGCGGACCAGAAATATCAGCTTTATGAAATATCTAATTTCTTGCAACGTGTAAAATCTCTCTCAAAGTATAAATCGCGTCGCGTGTCATTATAAATTGTTGAATGATAATCTCCTGCAGGTTGAATATTTCACTCCTGGATCGAAGATCTCTGTGGAACCTGCCGACGACGAGGAGTGCACTTTAGAGGATGTTGATGAAAAGGTGGAAATGAGCATACGGGAGAGTAATCGTGAGATGTGGGAATCGGAACTGTTCACTGATTGTGTAATCAAAGTGAGTAGAAATTTGTAGTTTTTTGAGAATGTATTACATTATACAGAATCTCGAAAAGCATTGCTTTCCCGCTCAAGTATTGAACTAAGGTGTTGACTATTGTGACGTGAATTCCACCTTTATCTTTCTTTAATAGGTTGGCAGCAAAGAAATAAAGGCCCACCGATGTGTTTTGGGGCAGCATTCCCCTGTTTTTCGTTCAATGTTCAATAACGAGTCAATGATTGAGGCCAGGGAAGGCATAATCGACATACAGGACGCTAAATACGAATCGGTGAGCTTCATCTTGTATCTTGATTTGTGTAACTATAGAACTTGCGCTCCCTGCTCTTTTCGAAGAGTTAAAAAAACTACTTTTTGTGAAGGTTCGAGCAATGGTAGAATTTATGTACACTGGATCTATGGATACCGTGGATTCTAATTCAGTCGACGAAGTACTAGCAATAGGTAAATTTTCTACTGAGTTGGTATTCCGTTTCTCATGCGTGCTCCAAATAGGTAGCTCCTCGCTACGGTCATGCATATTTGGGCAAAAAAGAACCTTCAGGTGGACGAAGCATTTGGAGAAATCACTGTGAAAAGGCGGGGTCCCCCTAATGAAGTCTACGGCTTTTGCCTTAGTCTCAAGGGGAACATGTACGGTGTTTGTCGACCAGTTCGAAGGACGGTATATCTATTTGGAGTTTCAATTCTGGAGGAACACTCATTTGCACACGCATGGATTAGCAGTGGGCTGTCCACTTGCACCGCTTCTCGCAATCCTATAAATCGTTCGTTTGGGAAGTCGTTCGCTATCATCGGGTTGCTGTTGCTGGTGTAGACGATGTATTTGCCGTTGCGAAGTACGGAACAGCAGTACGTTAAACGTTTATGAAGCTGAAGTTACTGCACTCAACTGTTGCGCTGACATCAGCGTTTTGAGTGTTTCCTTTCAAAGACAGCTCCCGCGCTCAAGTAGTACATGGTCGTCCTTCCTTGTGCAAGTAGTACAGCCCCCAAGCTAGAGACTATCCCACTCTCGCGACTCCACAGCGAGCGAAAGGCGAGCCACTGCTGAAGCTGCTGAAAGTTCTAGTTCTAACGCCCGTCCCCGCCCACTTGCTAGATGCCCTCTGACGGAGGGCCGCTCAGTTGTGTTGGGGCGGCGGGCATTAATCGGAATTGCATGCCCTTTTTGCTGACCGCGCTCGTGCCCATGAATGATTCTGCTCTCCTTTATTACATTTTATTATTAGGAGCACATACAGTCAACTCCAACCCATCTCGCAAGGTAAAACGCGTAAAAATCACGAGCGACCCAATTTTCGTGGTGCAAAAGCTCGACGCACCACACTAAAAGATGCACGCTACCGTAACCCTAAATTCAGACGCCTTTTTGAAAGTTTCTTTTCCTTTTCAAGAGTTTTTCTTCCGTGTTTTTGTTGTTTTTCGTATTCTTTTCATTGCATTGGATGATACCCACTACTGGGAGATGTGATAAAGGAATTTGTGAGCCAGGGGTTGCACAGAGACCGCAGGAAGGTGTGACTGTCAGGGAGCGATTTTGTTTATGGTGTTCTTGAGGACTCTTCTTGCTTTTTTTCTTCTTTGGGGATTACTTATCAGCTACTGTTTCATAATTGGAAAGCAGCTACTATCCATGACACCTTTATCGCGGGAGATGTCTTTAAACGATCATAACTTTCTTAATACTCATCGGATTCAATCGAAATAAGCACCGTTCGAATCAGCACACTTTTGCCAATGTGACAGCAGTCGAGAAATCCCATCAAAAAAAAACTGGGTGGTCGAAAATTCACGAAATCCACGAAGGCTTTTTTGCCTGGTCCTGATTGATGAAGTATTTTCCAGCAAGGAAGTTCTGAAAATGTTTGAAAAGGTGATAGTCGGTTGGTGAAAGTCTGGAGAATATGGCGGTGAGGTAGAACTTCAACCCCCAATTCGTTCAATTTATGGATAGTGATTTGTGAAACGTGTGGGCGGGCGTTGTCATGCAAAAGAATCGGACCCTTTCTGTTGGCTGCAGCTGACAAAATTTTCGGTACATTTCGTCGATTTCTTCACAGTAGGACTCTGCTGTGATGGTTTGGCCTGGTGACAAAAAGTTATAGTGGATCACACCAGCCGATGACCACCACACTGTGACCATAATCTTTTTTCGTGAGGATTCGGCTTTGGAAATTGCCTCGGTGGTTCGTCGGCATCCAACCACTGTCCGGAACGTCTCCTGTTATCATACATGATCCATTTTTCATCACAGGTGACAATTCGGTCCAAAAACGGGTCGTTTCTGTTGCGCAAAAGCAGTGAAGAAGAAACCTCGAGACGTGCCAATTTCTGCCGGTCACTCTGGGCACCCACTTGTCGAGTTTTTTCACCTTCCCAATGCGTTTCAGACCATCCGCAACAGTGGATTTGCCAACGCCTAGCTTTTCTGCAATCTCTCGAACTGTTTGGGATGGGTCAGCCTCCACAAACGCCTTCAAATCCTCGTCAGGTATTGCTTTAGGTCGACCGCTACGAGGTTCATCTTCAAGGCTGAAATCTCCAGAACGAAATTTGTCGAACCATTGTCGCACGGTGCTTTCTCCAACACTATTGGGCCCCCACACCTGGTTAATTTGTTGAGCTGTTTCGATTGCGGATTGCCCCAATTTATAGTCGAAGAAAAAAATCGTCCGAAGTGCTCTTTTCACATGCTTCAAAAAGTCTTGGGAAAAGGGGGTTTATCAAGCAATGGTGAAACGGCAATTATACCATCAGATAGCGCAAAAAATTCTCTTCAGGATGGTACTGAGACGCAAGGGAGAATGAGTTTTTAATCAGCAATGAATGTACAAAAAATAGTAACACAAAACGCTGAGAACTTTCCGGACAACCTAATACCTCATGTGGCTTCCATGTTGAGATATTCAGATTTTCAGAGGCTATCCGCCTAACTTACCGGTGGAAACTTTGAATGAGACCGCGGTGCATCGATAGAGTCTGTAAGGTTATTCGACAATATAAGATAGCAATAACTGCAACCTGCATTTACACAGCACTTATGCAGGCATAGTATAATCTGTAATGTGCTTAGAGTGGAGGCTTGATGGTGAGCTGTAAACGCGTAAAAGCGAGGAAATTGCCATACGTCCGAATCGAATGTTAGCGCGTCGAACACTTTACAAGTGAATCAGTACGATTTTATAGCTTGACCACCACAACTTCATGCCTTTCACAAGCGGGCCTCCGCCACCAAGTCTCCTCCTACTTTCACCATTACAACTTTCCTGCCTCATAGTTGTTAAAGGGAATGCAGGTTGCAGTTCTGCTATCTATCACCTGTCACCTGTGCTCCCGTTGATCATCGAGTTCCTCGAGCGGGCGCCAGTAACGTCTCCATTCGTCTGCAAGAGTTGCCCAATGAACTCTCTCAGCTCGAGGGACACGATGAACTTCATACCGTTCGTTCAGAGCTTTCACGAAGAAGTCTGACCATCGCGTAGGCGGTCGTCCAGGCGTTCGCTTGACATCCCGTGGAATCCAGTCGGTGACTGCTCTGGTCCAGCGGTCGTCCTCGCATGACGTGTCCGGCCCACCTGATCTTCGAAACCTTGGCAAATGCGGCGGCGTCTCTGATCTTCGATCGTTGGCGGAGTGCGGAGCTCCGGATTCCCTCTCTCACTTGCGTGTAGCGGGAAACTCCGAGCATCGCCCTTTCGATGGCGCGTTGAATAACGCCAACCGCATGCTCATCCTGCTCTCGTACAACCGCATGCTCATCCTGCTTTCGTAGAGTCCAAGTCTCTGAGGCGTACGTCAAGGCAGGAAGGACCGCGGAATCGAAGAGGTGGGCACGGAGCTTGGTGTTCTTCGTCTTCTTCGCTACTCCCTCGATGTTCTTGAAGGCTCCCCAAGCCGCTCGCTTCCTGCTCAGCTCTGGAGCTAGGTCATTCATCATATTGATTTCACGACCTAGGTACACATAGCTAGAGCATTCAGAGATGGTCGTTCCGTTGAGCGTGAATGGGGCATCAGATCAGATACCAATCCGTTTCTGCTACCTATATTTGTAAACCTTATAGACTGTCGTTCTACCTAGGTCACCATTCAATGTTCCATGGTAAGTTGCGGACTTCCCTGGTGAGAAACCTGCTCCGAAGACCACGTTGATCTTTTCGAGAAGCTACCACCTTCTTTTTATGAAGAGGAATATTGTTCACCAGTCGCCTCGCCGGCTGACGCCGGCGCGGCTCCTTCTGATACGGCCCGGCTGCGCCGGGCGGGCGCGGCTTCGCCGCGCGTACCTTCTCTCACATATTTCTAGACTCAACTGATATCCGCCTTTTGTTCTGTACTCCACTTTTTTCCGGTGTCTGAAGTGTTCTGGAACCGTTCTGCAGATTTTTGTCTGGCTCCGCCCACCTCGAAACAGGCTCCGCCCCCAATTTTTGTGCCCCACAATCCTCACTGGCGACCCTCTGCTGACCTTAATCCACTTTTTTCCGGTCTTCGGAGTGCTCTGGGAGAGTTTTGG